TTCTTCTTCTTCGTCTTCATCTAATTCTCTAACATCAAATTGGTTCTCATCAAATAATTCTCTTACTACATTCTCCTTTTCCATATCCTTCATTACTTCTCTAATTTCATTCTCTGCCTCATCACTTTCCAGTAACTCTCTGAATTCATTCTCCATTTCTTCCCTAATTAATTCCCTCTTTGCATCTTCCGAGCTTTCATCAATTTCCCTGACTGCAGCATCCTCATCTTCGTCACTTGTACGTTTCTTCATGAGACTCTCATTCTCCCACGCATCAGATTCTAAGAAATCGTCGAAGTCTCTCTCTTCCTCTCGCATGTTTTCACTTTCACTTTGAAATTCATCATCCAAATCTCTAGAAATATTATCGTCAATATCCATGTCTTCAAGAGCTTCGTGATCGTCTTCGTTTTCTCTAACATTAAATACATTTTCATCTTCATTGACTTCACGAAAACTGAAATATCAATTTAAGATGTTAAAAATGTCAAATTTACATCAGTAAAACTTGCTTTCAAATAGAAAATATTACTTAAAAATCATCGTAACATGTTAGAAAATAGAATGATTCGGATTTTTCCTTTATAAATATCATATTAGAGATAAGAAAACGTGTCTAGACTTTTCTAGACACGTCCTCTTATCTGTAATATGTAATATGGTCTATTATCTGTAGTTTTCCTTACTAATGTGTTCTATTTTCTTCCTAATTTAACAGAATTAAACGTGAGTTTGTCTAACTTATTGAATTATTCTTCTAGTCTAAAATATTCTTAAAATAATTATCTATACTTTATCACAATAATCTACAGTATTGTCGAAGAGTTCTGGTCAATGGATAAATGATTTATTCATTACGTAATATTTTTATCATGTATCATGTTTCATACTTTAACATGTTATATAAATTTTCAAAATAGTATGTATTAAAAATCTTAGGTAAACAATGAAGGAATTATTTATTTATTAAGAAACCGGCACATTTTTAACCCAAAAGTATACCCATTATAAACAGTGTGTGATCTACATTAGAAACCACAAGCATTATTAAAGGAAAGGAAATGAAGTCAAAATCTAAACGTAGAGCATGTCCGGGGGAAATAGAAGACGTACATTTTAGTGTCATTTTCTCTTTAATGTCCACATTTATGGACATTTTGTCAACGTATATACTATCCATGATAAATATTGGGTATAAATGACTACTCAAAACACTATCTTGTTGCTTTACTGCATGGCTATCTGGCCAAGTAAACAAAGGTTTTATTTCTTATAGAATTATTTAATAGAATTAAATCATTTCATAATTTGTAATTCCTATCGTCAAATTTGACTCATGCTATAAATAAAAAATGGGAACAATTTCAAGAAATCGCATCTACTTGGCACATTGTATGATAAACTCTCATAAGTTCTGAGGGTTTGTCATGCAATGGAATTGAGTTATGAGTCATAATTCAATTCTATTACAGTTAAAGATGGATTTTATAATTTTAAAATATAATCTAACCTGTATTAATCTAATTTTTAACATTTATTTTAAGGCATAAGTGAGTGCAGAAAATGCTGTCGAATTTTACACAATGGTTTTAAGTTCCATCCATGATTCACTCAAAAATAATGACACACAAGGCATCATTTTTTTGGCAGAATACATGAAAAAATATTTGAAAATATCATAAAAGTCATTAAGTATCTTACGGCAGTTATTTTAGAATTTCTTACTTTTAATCCTAGGCAAAGATATTTATAATAAAAGTCTATATTGCAGACTGATTTATTTATGATTTACTCCATTATCAAGCCCTTATAATTTATTAAATACTATAAAATTTATATTAGAATGGATTTTGGTTTTATATCTAATAGGTGAAGTCATGAAATGTCAGATTTTCGTCATAAAGATCCAAAAGCCATTGACTCATCAGTGGTCGAATGGACCACATCCCTGAATACTGGTAGATCGCGGGTTTGCAACTGACCAACGAGCTGTCTATATGGAGTTTTCCAGGTTTTATCTACGAGTCTAATACCTAAATAGAGCTGGTTGGATGTAAAAAGTTCTCCCGGAAGGCAATCTCTTTGGCAGATCGATGTTACACTGCTATATTCCATCAAACCATTAGTTCTGCCATTCTTTTCTTGAGTGATATCAAGAATTTCTCGGGGGAAATATATGGAAAATATAGACTTACCCTATATTTCGGCATTTGGTGTAACAACCGCCTCTTTTTCTACAAATTCTAACTGGTACGCAACTGGGACGACCTTGGATTTCGATAACGAAACCAGCGATCAATAAGAATGCCGCAAACACTATGAAGTTCATCCTCTATAACTAAACTAAAATATTAAATTAAAAGATACTTTATGTTTCTTTCATTTTAAAATAATAATATAAAATAAGATTATAATTGTGCAGTAATGTAAATTATATGAAAAAGAACTTTTAATAAATTGTGGAATATAATGAATTTTTTTGTATTTTCAGTATAAATTATATATAAATTGAAGTGTAAAATTATTAACGCATTAATTTATTTAAATTTATTCATTTACTCAGTCAATATACTCGATTAAAATTTTCAATTTCGTAATAGTTTACCATTTAGGAAGGGTAGACTTTGTCTCATAAGTCTCTTAGTCGCTTTGTCACTGCCATTTCTATTACTAATTTTTGTAGTTTAGTAATTAAAGAATACATTAAGAGAGGAACAATTTGTCGATAACAAATATTGGAGGGACTTGTACTCTGTATCTTATGGATCGACGCCCAGAAATTTTTCATTGGCGGTCTGTCCCATCCCTCAAAATCGGCCACCTCCATTGAGAACCTGGCCGAACCCACGATGGGCATGATTAAAAAGATCCTCTTAGTGACTACAGAGCAAAAAGTCCCAAAAATAAAAATATATCGAAGAAAATAGCCAAGCATTTGCCGCATAAATGCATCTACTTACAACAAAATTTCACTATCACAAGAGTTGGAAATATAATTCTTGTAGTTTTGTAGTGTATGTTTCTGGGGATTAATTTTTTAGAACGTAATCCTGCATTCACTGTATTCATCCGTAATTTGTAGTAAAAATTTTTCAAAAATTATGATAACCAGAAAGTTAAATTTCCATATTCGACATCAGTTTTTGTGTTTCAGAACAATGAAATTCAAAATTCTAACTCTAAAAACGAAAATAAGATGAAATTTATACTTCTTTTATCCATTTATCTATCATAATTTTCAGAAAATAAACACTGAAATGAAATTCATCAACTGGATGATTTTAAATCAATGATTCATAATTCAATTTTTTATGTAAATTTTAAGATATTGCATGCACAGGTGTATAAGTGCATCTGTAACATTCAAAACGTTTATTTACAAAAGTGCCCTTTGGTCTCCTCCTCAATTACGCTATTGCATTCGATAAAAACACTAAACACTAGTAGTTGGTCACGGGCCCACGTGTTTTCCGGGTTTTCTTCACGTTTATAATACCTAAATAGGAACTGGTTTCCCGTAGAAAATCCTCCAGGGAAGCACCCCTCCCTTAGCAGATCGCCCAGGTGTCTCGCCGTAACAAAATGAACCAATCAAAAACTAAAGGGCGATTTAAAGAAAATACACGAAACAAAACAGTACATAAAAATCACCTTAAAGTGGCATTTTATCTGTATAAAGTCAATGAAAACAATTGACACCTATGAGACTGAAAGTAAAAGAAGCAAATTTTGGTGTCAATTTGCTTATAGTTACAGCTACAGAGCGCTCTGAATAGGAAAGCTTTAATTATGGCCACCCTCTAAGCAAAAGATATATTGTAATATATTATTATAAACAGTATATCTACTCTGTACAAAAATATACAGTGTGTACAAACATTCTACATAGAGGTTTTTATTATCGTACATATGAACTTTACGTGTCTATTATGCAAAAACTTACGAAACATAATTTTAAAAATTAAAAATTATTTGACTGGCCTAATTTATCCACTTTATTTTATTACAACTGAAAAAACAACGTTTAATTTATTATCTAATATAATAATATTTATATTCTAGGCATTTAACATTTAAATACTTACTTCGAATGATAGGGATGACAAAAAAAATGACGAAACCGTTGAACATTTTTTTTGTTATATAACCTCCGTTTCCATTGGATAACGGATATCCCCCCTCAATACAGATAACCAATTCCAATAATTACAACCGACAAAACTGTAAAAAAAAAAAAATACTTAAAACGGTTAAACTTGAATTTTGGGCCGTCCTTTATGCCTACACAAACAAATTTCTTGTAAAAATTCACTGAATGATTTTTTTAATAATGTTTGCAGCATGAAATGACGAATATGAAAGCGCTTTATTAGTTTTTTCGATTCATAAATTAGTACTTTAATTAATGTTTTGATTAAAAAGTTAAAAATTATATCAAAATTTCAAGAAAATAAGGCGTAAAAAACAAGAAAATTGCTATGTGCAGTGCCTGAAAGAAGCGAAATTGGACCCTATTTCATAATAATTACGGTGTCTCTCACCCTCCGAAAGTCATAAAAATAAAGAAATCAAATCAAGAAAACAAATTATAATAGATTTTTTTTGTATAATTTCTCAATATAAATTTTATTTTAAATCACATTTTTAACGTAGAAAAATAAATTTTGAAGCCCCTTTGTGCTTAGGGGACGAGTTAAATGGTTCTATTGTCCACCCCTATTAGCACTGATTGTTATTTGAGTAAATTTATGCCGTGTAATTATATATTAAAAAATAAATAAATTTTAGGCCCCTCAATGTATTGGGGTTTGAGCTAAATTGTCTTCCTGAACCTGCTATTAAAATTTAGTGGATCAAGTGGGGCATTTACTAGACGTTATTTATTTAAACTCTTTATTAAAAATTAAATATTGTTAATATTTTATAATTTAAATTTTGTAAATTCACAACATTTCATCGAAATGATGTGGAAATATATATATATATTTTTTTATCTAAAAATGTCAGAGGGAAGTATCAGGTGATAATCATCTTTTTTTCTAGATAAATTTGATTATATCAGTTATCATAAAATTCTACGGAAATTAATTTTTATATTTCCATATAGAATCAACATGTGTAATATATCTTTAATAATAATTCATTATATTATTATAATTTAATTAAACAATTAATTTAATTTCAGCTATTTGACTAGAAAATTGATGATGATCTTTAATTGCAATTTGTTAATTTAATTTATGATGAAATAAGATATATCATTAACATGGAAGCACTTAATAGATTGTCTTCAGAGAAGTCAGTTTAACCACTAAAACACATATAGGTATACTACATAATTCTGTGTATTGTAATTGAATATACTTAGTTCTAGGCAATAGTAAATCCATAAAACTTTGCAGGGGAGTGCAGAAAGGTTTATGCCTTACAAAATTTTTTTACTGCCTAAGATACTCCCAGTTGCACCCTGTGCTAACTTTTCTAAATCCATCCCTAGGTTTATGTACAATCATACACAATTTCTCATTCTTTTAGCAGCTAAACTGATGATGATAAAATGTGATGGAGAATGTTTATTGGTGATACTTGCCATAGTTTTATCACTTTATTGATTCTTTGATAATATTGGGATTAAATGAAAAATCCATGTGAATTTGTTTATAATTTTCTGTGACAACACAGAATCTTTTATATATTTGTACAAAATGTCAAAAGCATTTATATATTTGTAGTATTTGTATGTAATGCAAACGGAGAATTTATAGTATATATCCTCAAACAGATATAAAAAAATAAAATAATAAAGATAAGAGTTTATAAGTACTGTATTTATAAAAATAATAAATACTGTATATTTATAAAGCAATCTGTAGTTATAAATACACCACTCCACACCAGGAAATATGAACAACACAGAACCAATTTTCAATGCATATAATACAAAAAATAAATGCTGTAGTTACCAGAATTCAATTTTGCAATATTAGAACACATCAATAAACTTTTCATTTTTCATTAAGTTATTTTTTTTTTAATATCTTAGGAAGAATTTACATCATGTCTACCTCAATGTCAATTAACATAAATAAAAATAGAAATCTAAACTCCTTTGAAAAATCAGGACAATTTATATCACACTCAAACCTGGATCCTTAAGAAGAGTTTTTTTTTATGATGAGGCACTAAGATAATACAAATGCAAATGTAATAAATTAATTTTAAATTTTAAATTGAAAAAATTGAATATCATCACACTCAATTCTGTCCAAAATGTTACTGTGCAATGAGAAATTCCTAATGGCATTAAGTTATGCATATGGTATTGCAAATGAGACCTGTAAGTTGTATGCAATACCATACTGTCAACTGCTCAACTGGTATCAAATGAACAACTTACAAGTTTTTGTATGCAATGCCAAACATATAACTTTAATGCCATTATAAATTTCTCACTGCACAGTAACTTTTCAAATATCCTGTATGTAGAGTGGCCACAAGTTCTTATGCATAAGATTCTATTATTTGTTTTATTTTTTTTTCCTACATGGCTTCAACTGAAGAACACTATAAGAATGATATCCCTCTCAAATACCCAAAATCAATCAGTTATTGTTAAGTTTGGAAAAAAAACTTTCTATAACAAACTAGTTTATGACTGGCAAGACTTTACAGTCTACAGAAAGTGTTCTTTTGTCTCTTGTCACACACAAAGGACAATAAAACAATATTGTCTGTACAAATAAATAATGGAAAGTTTGAGTGAAGCATGAATTCTTTAACACAGCAGCATAATGGTATAGATCAGATTCACACCAATTTAACAATCAGCAGATTATATCTTAATTATTTGGTTAGATTTAATTATATATGTCTAAAAATACTAAAATAAACATAAAGTTGTCTAAAGTTGGGAGGAAGATTATCATCATCAACATAATCCAGATAAATCATATTATTATTTATGTTTAAAATAAAACATTTATTTATTAACAATAGCATATCCAGAAACCCTCAGAAAAAGGTGCAGCTGTACAAAGTGACCCTCTAAATCCAACCCTCTTATAATATACACAAATCTTCAAACAAGGAGCCTTTCAAGTGTCAAAACATTTGCAAGGAGATATAACTCATCATCAGTAACCACAAGAAACATTCAAATTAAAACAACTATAAATATTAAAATTAAATGTTTTATTTGAATTTGACTTAAAAGATATGAAGACTTTGAAAATAAGTTTTTCTAATTAGAATGTTTCTCGTGGTTGCTAATGATAAGAAGTAAATTTTCTTGAAAACATTTTGACATTTGAATGTAAGTGGCTCCTTGATTGAAGAGTTGGTCTGTATTAATTAATAGATACATCATTTTTTTATGTGCTGCAAGTATTTTCATTTTTTTCAAGACTGCAAAAATTTATTAGAAATAACATTTAAAAAGGGAAAAAATAAACAGAAAAATTTTATTGAAATATATCAAGTGATAATTATATAACATCATTATTATTAATTCTTAATCAAATATTAATTCAAATGTATGATTTGGATAATTTTTAAACAATTTCTTCCATTTTAGCTTCTTCTTTTTACTCTGCAAAAAATTATAAATGTATTAATACAATTATTTATGATACAAATAAAACATCATAAATAAAATTTCACTAATTCAATATTAAATTTTATAATTTTCAGATAAATATATTCTAAACAAATGAATATATAAAACATGAAACTCATATGATAAATAATTAATAACTTTTAAATTAGATTTTAAAATAAGGAAAATCCTTACAAATATTGAGAAACCATTTTATAAATGTCATGATGTTCAAGAAGTCTTGCACAGAGCAAAAGATATATTCCATGTCTTTCACATAATTGAAACAAACTAGATTTTTCAATATTCATACAGATTTTAAATATGTTTTAAAAGTTTTTTTATTGTAGATTTTATTATACTGTAAAGAATTAAACTAAAATGTAAATACTTTTTCTAAATTCACAATCAGTAGCAAAATGCATTTGAATCTATTCCTAGTATTAAAAATAATATACTTTACTGAATGTACAATTGAGTAAGTTATAAATAAAAATAGTCATAAGTTTTATTGAGATAGACCACCATAAAGGANTTTATATTATTGTAAGAAAGGTGACTATAATCTATCACATTTTGAATCATTGTACAATGTCTATGGATTGCTTTTGTTAAAACACCAATTCAGTTACTGTTAGTTTTCACGATTTAAAATAAAAACCACTTTGAATTTAAAATATGTACAACAGTGTTTTAGGATTTCTCTATTTTCAAATGTGATCTATATTATACCAAATGATCTGTCATATTATTGGGCTATAAGACTAATTTAAATTATAGTCCAATAATAGGTTGACTTTGGACTGCTATATAACCCTCCAATAAGGGTTCAATAAGGCTACTTTATTTTTGTTTTATAAGCGCAATGTAGCATAATAACGATCACAATTCATTTCTTTATTTCAATTTCCGTTGATCAACGGAAATTGAATTGAATAAAATTGAAACGACATGGTTTCAAAACATGGAAGAAAAAGGCTACTTTAATTATGATAACCATGTATATCTATAAAATCATTTAATGATATAAAATATTCTTGAAAAAATATATATTAATTTTGTAATTATTTTTTTAGAATATTTTTGAGATTGCCCTGGATGAAAATGCAAATTTTCTCAAAAACAATTCAAAAATTAAAAGAAAATGGCTCATTATTTTAAGGTTTTATGCAGTTACTTGATAAATATTAATTTTTTAAATTATTAAATATATTTTTAAAACTAAAACTTCATTCCTAAAACAAATTTGCACTTTAAATTTATGATTACTTTTAATTAATTCTTTAATTACATTATTTATAGTTATTCTTTTATGTTTAATTAATTTCAAGCAGTCATAGTTATAACTTATAAAATTACTTTCTACATATAAATGTAAATAATGGAAATTTATATAAGTTTATAATTATATTTTTAATTACCTAATAAAAATAAAGGATTTTGCATTCTTCTTTTAGGTTGCCAGTTTTTAATAACATGATGCATCCTATAAGCTAATAACAGAAAGCTTTCAAATAAATTAACAACAGCCACATCTTCTGTATTAATCTGCAATATAAAGGTTTAAATCTGCAAATTCTAATTATTATTATGTTAATATTGAATATAATGTGAGAAGAAAGTAATATTTATTACAAATAGTTTAGCATTAATGTTTTAAATTAAAAAATTAATTTGAAGATTATGAAATTGTTTTCTGCATATAAAAATAACTTTATAACAAACTGTACTTAATTTGAAAACAAGAACAAGAGGCAATCATTAGAAGTAAGCATAAGATTCCTTAAGAGAACTAATCACATCCTTCATCAGTCCTATTTTTTTATTCAACATTAGGATCAAAATCATTCAAAATTAGAATCAAAGAACATTTAAGTGCTATTAAAACAATAACAACTATTTTAACAAAACATAGCAATCATGTACGTTGTGAGATCTCACTAAACAGTGTCAAAATTCTTAAAAGAGAAATAATATTAATAAAAAAAACTTTTTTGAACACCTCAAAATTATTAAAATCATAAAAAATATAATGAATTTGAACACTGGCACTGCCATTGGTGAGATCTGGTAACAACTATTATAGCTCTGAGAAGAATCCATTTAAGATACACTTCTCCTCTCCCCTTCCCACACCTCTATTTTTATAATACACTGTATTGTGCTTCTAACAGTTTAGATGAAAGTCATGCAGTGATAGTTTTACCTCCTTTTTTTAAATATTTTAAGAGTATTTTTATTCCATTTTGTATAGCTTACATATACAGTATTTCTTTTACCAATTTTTAATTATTTTAATAGTATTTTATTATACTCCACTTTTTATAATTTACAGGTATTCCTTTTATCAATATTTACTCATTGTAATTAACAACTTTTTTAACTTTTTACTTATTTTACATTCTACTTAGTTATGTTATATTATCTAAAAATCTAGTTGTCACCTGTATAACTATAACACACACAATTTCTACCATTTAGGTAATAATAATTTAGGTAATAAAATTCATTATAATTTTATGTATATTTATAATTGTAACCTGAAGCTTGTAATGCTTTTAACCAGACTGATGTTAAATATAAAAAGGCTGATGAAGGACATATAATCCAAAGTGCATAGTCTTCATAATCAATAAAGCTTGTATAATCTACCTACCTTTGTTGAGTTACTGTTTGATTAATTCCCTTAAACAGTCTTATGCTTACTTCTAACAATACTATAACTAATTCATTATTCTTATTAGCAAAGTAAGATGCATTTATTTGATAAAATTGTTTCAAAGTCTCTAGAAATTAAAGGAGATATTCCTTTATATTTTCAAAGTTTTGTTTTTCCAAAACATAAAGCTTTGAACTATTGAAACATTTGTTTTTTTCTATAGTTTTTGCTCATAATAAGCTTCAAATATATGAATTAGTGAGGAATGTATCTAAATTATACAAAATAAACAACAAAATGTCAAAATATTTAGAAATTTCAATTAATTATAATTTCAACATTAATAAATTAATATTGAAATTGTAATTAATAGGATGAAATTCTTAACCTGTCATCTTTCACATACCCTTCCATTTAATTATGTCCAGAAAGCATGGATCCCTGGAAATTTTGAAAAACTGAGAATCAATACTGGAATTATTGCTTAAATGACAAGATCAGACAGTACTGAAATTCAAAACATTTATTTTGAGAAGTTGTATGAGTTGCACTCACATTCAAATCATAAGTATAATTATTTATTTATGTTATGCTAAACAATCTGCCATATTATCAGACTATTTATTTACATGTTATTAGATAATTTTCATAAAACTGGAAGAGAGTTTGAGAAGGTCTAAGACCACAGATCACACATTAAGAATCAATGAACTAGATAAATTCCTTTATGTTGTTATCCATGTTTAGAAAGTATTTCCGTATAAAAATTTCTCATTATGTATAAAAATATCAATGTCATAGTATTATGTGATGTATTTATTATACAAACAAAAAGTGAAATAACACATGAAAAAAAATTATAAAACCAAAACTGTTAAATGTATGGTGGCTGTCAACAGCTAATAGTCTGATTATATGAGATGTTTAACTTTAGTTATGTAGTGCTGTATATTTGCATTTTAAATTGGTGGATGTCTTGTTGTAGTAAGAGTCTTGTTACACGACCTTTTTTAAAAAATTGTAGACCAAAAATTCTAACTGTGGAGAGTCAAAAATGTTTAGGCTGAAATGCATTTTACTAGTACCAGTCTAAGGGATGTGTATATCTTATAGTTCTATATAATAAAGGATAAATAGCTCAATGTGTGATAAACTCTACAGATATAATAAAGTAGTATAAAAAGTTGTAATTATAATATTTTTTTCTATTAAGGTAATTTATTTATATTTCATTATATTATTTAGTTCATATTTTACATTAGTCAGCAATAGTATTTAATAACATATATAAATTACAGATGCTTAAAATTTATAATTATTTTATAATAAATAATTACTACTACAAATTTTAAATTTTACTCACATAAGTATCCAAAGTAATTGGAAGAAACCTTAAAATCACTAACCTAATCAATAATATTCAAATGTATTAGTTGAAATTATTAAATAAAATAAATATATAATTTAAAACACTTTAAATAATCAAAAATTTCAATCTTAAAATGTTAGAATTATGTTAATCTCTCGAGTCATTTAATTATTTGAAACTTATTTTCATAAACTATTGACTTATTAATTAAAATCAGATTAGAAATTATTCATCTCATTTATTATTTTAAAAATTTAAACAGTTTTTTTAATTTTGTATTATTCTGTTTATTTAATAAAAAAAATATATCCTGAAATTGAATTTCATATAATGCAGAAAATATTCAAATAATAATAAAAATAATTATTTTATTATAGAAATAAACAAAAATTATGATTTTCATATTTATAAAACATTTATAGAAATTCTATATTACAGAAAAAGCGCTTACAAAAAAATCAAATTAAATGTAAAAGTCAATAATAAAATTGATAAAAAATATTATGTGATTATAAGCAATCAATAAATAGATATAAAGGGTGTCGCATTAATAGTACTGGATGCAAATTGAGCACCATTAGCATAAGGTTTTTCAAATCTCATGTCTATGCCGACAATTCCTAATCTCACAACACATTCGATGTGTTATTGGCAGAATTGGGTCAAATTATGCAGTAGGGTCATAGCAATTTTGTGAAGAGTGTGTGTATGTACTTCCAGTCATGGGGAACATTTGGCAGACACTGTCTTCTAAACATAAAAATGACTTAGCACTGAAATTGAGTTATAATGTTACTTTATACTGAAATAAAAATATCCACAGTTGTTTAACAAATGATCGGTTTCATTTCACAATGAAATCTTGCACTACTATTGGGATACTCTTTACATGTAAAGAGAACCTGATGATAAAATCTACACTTATCTAAAAAAATCTCATACGAAACTAAGATTTTATCAAATAATTTACCTTTAATAATGCTAAAAAATGTTTTAAAATTATAAAAGTTTATTAAAAATTATGTATATTTTATTTCTGTAGATTCTATATCTTATCCATAATACATATCAAATTTTTTTAATTAAAGTATTACTTACACAAGCATTTTTTTCTTTAAATTATATCCAGCATTCTTTAGATCAATTGACATACTATAACCAATTGCTGTAAAAGTTTTAAAAAAATGAATTATCAATTAATATTCATGTGCAATAAAATATAATCAAAGATCAATCAGAAAAAATATGGTGTAAATTAAATCCTAAAATTTTTTGTATAAGAAATTTCTGTTAATAAATATATTGTGTAACTTTTATAAAGCTAAAACGAAAGATTTTCTAGTATTAAATAAAGTTTAAAATAATAATAAATTGAATTTCATAATCTATGAATTGCTTAATTATTAATTTTATTAAAGCAGCATTTTTACTTTGTAGTGATGTTTTAAAATTCTGCAATTTTCCCCTTTATACAGTAAAACCTGTCCAAAACAGAATCTGAATGAAACAGAACCTGTGTAAAGAGAAGAAATTCTTTGAAACACAGCAATTTTCTATATTAAATTTTACTGTAAGCTGCAAAACCTGTCCAATGTAGAAATAGAAGAGTATTTTGGTACAAAGAATGTAGTGTAACCTGGATAAAGCAGAAAATTAATATTTCCCTTGTAGATAAATAAGTGAAATCACTTCCAGATATAATGGTCACTGAAGAGCATGAAAACTGTTTTCTGAGAATATTTTTCAAACCTTGTCAGAAAAAGACAGGTCATATCACCATGATGTATGGACACAAATTATCTTTATTAATACTGTATTTCTTCAATTCTAAGATGCAGTTTTTTCCATATATAAACATCTCTAAAAACAGAATGAATCTTGGAATCAATGATGTCTTAGAATCACAAGTTTCTTTTCAAATTTTCCCATGCTTCCCAAATGCCAAGTCTGGAAGATTGTCAGGTCTGGAATAACACAAACCTGATAATCTGAAAAAATTAAGAAAGTGCAGGCATCAAAATTGGCAAAATAAGCATCATAAAGCTTGGAAACCCCCAGAAAAAATAGTGCAGCACTCATTTGAAAAATGCTGTATCACTAATGCTCTCAATAGCTCATAAAATGATATATGGGATAATGAAGATAAAGACAGTTAAAAAGAATCAGACTCTGAATGTAAAGGAGACTCTGATATTGATTTAGGAGAAAGTGATGATAAACATAACTACTGATAAATAAGTAGGGCTACTAATTACTGTTAGAAAATTCAATTTTATTATAATAAAAATATTTAATGGTGTCTTAGAATCAAGGAAATACAGTTTAGTCTTTGATGGAATTAACCAGGAAAAAAATCAAATGAATTTCTAAAAATTGAATTCTCAAAAACAAACAATGAGTGTAATTTGGAAAAACAGTTCAAATAAATTAATCTACTGCTTCCAATTTGTCTTGTACAAAGTATCTTGTAACTAAATAGTAGATTCAAAAAGAACTTATAATTTTATGATGAAGTGTAAAAATTAAAATAATTTTTACCTGATTTAAGTGTTGTTTGAATATTTTTATACCTCTGAATTTGACTGAGAGTTTTTCTCATATTTTATACAATTTTAATTAAAGTAATTTCCAACTCCATTGAATATATTTTTTTAAACTTCTATAATTTTTATTATAATTAACAAACAAGTTGATTAGTACAGAAACTAAAGTATACAACTAATTAGAAGATTGAAATTCCTCAAGATGCCATATTGCAGAATAGCTTGATCTCTATATTTCTGTACATGGTTAGAATTTCTGATGGCAGAGTAAGATACTAGTTTTTGGCACTGAAACTTGTTTGTTGTTTTGTAAGCTCATAAGAATTACATCTGAGAAGTATCCAAATGCCTAGCACAACTTCCTAAGAGGAATGAGAACTTTTTGCATGAGAACAGTTCTTGATTCCTGCATTTAAATACTCCCAGCCTTAGTTGGAATCATTCTATAAATTCAACTTTTATGCTTTTGTGTCCTTAACTTATGTATTTATGCTTAAATTGTCAACTAGAATTTAATTTATTATATTGGATAACTCCTAGTAATAAATTAAGTCCTAGTTGACAATTTAAGCAAAAATACACTCTATAACATTCTTCATCAAATATTCAGAATGTACAATTCTGATTTACACAGGTTTTACTGGATTTATTTTTAAAATTTATTCAAGAACAAGCTACAAATTCAAATGATTAATTTAATAAATTAATTAATTAGAAGAATAAATAAATAAATTTAAAAAATAATATTTAATAACAGTACTTACATAAACCAAAATATCTTGTATAGTCAACTGAAACATTTAATGTATTTGGATTAATAAGTAGACCTAACCACTTCAATTTTTCTGAAAATATAAAAACATAATTTGATTAATTAATAATGTTATACAAGGTCCCCAAACTCTGATTTTACTATTTTTTTACATAGGTGATGTTAACATGTGCTATGAATTTCTAAAATCATCATCTTCCTCACATCTTTGAAAACATATAAAAACAATAACAATGCCCCTATGCATTTAAATTAGCTTTGCAAAGGGCAAATTCCAAACCATACCAGTCATTCTCTTCTTGCACACACATGCTGATGCACTAATCTATGCCAATCTCCTATTGGTTCTCCAATGTCATAATGCAACAATGCAAGCTATCCACATGCAGAAGCATGTCTTTTGGAGATCACATAATTTCAAAAGATTTCTGGCCTCACAGATCTCCCAATTTGTCATCATCTGATTTCTTCCTTTTGGGGTTATCTAAAGGAATATGCATACAGGAATAATCTGAAAAACCTGCAGTCCTTGAAAAGGTTTGCTGCTACCATCAATAAAATTTCCCCCGTCACACTAAGATGCATGGCTACAAACATGTGTCACTGTATGCATTTGTGCTTGATGAACATAGTGGACACTTTCAATATCTTCTGTGATAATGTTTTCAAAACCCAAGAATCAAGAAACATAATTACTGTATGATATGTAAACATTTTTATTTGCATTAGAAAACCCACAACAATGTTTTGAAATCAGAATTGGGGATCTTTGGCTCATCCTGTAGAAATAAAATAAATTATTATTTAAGGAGAAATTACCTTCATTTTCCAGTACTGTAACTGATTTTGTTTCAGTAGAAAAATTAACAATTATTTTATTTGGATTTACTTGAAGATTAAAATCAACTAATCCTGCAAAAACAAATAAATTAATAATTAAACCAACTGTAAAACACTTACTTAAATCCAACATTATTATTAAATATTTTTACCTGACAGCATAATCTTCATAAAATGATCAGCTCTGTCTTTGAAAGGAGTAATAAATATAAAATCATCAACAAATCTCATTAATAACTCTTCAGAATTTTTTCCAAATTCCGAAAGACATTCTTTTTCTAATGCAGCTAAATACAAATTACACAGCATCATAGAAAGAGAACCACCTTGACTTATACCCTTATTCAATCTGTAGTAGATTTTTCCTATCTAAATGAATGTTTTAAATATAATTTGTTAATTTAACATTAAAAAAAAAAAAATGCATTAATATAGCAAAGAAAGACTTACCTTCACAATACAATTTGTTACATAGATTTTTATAATTCTAATTATATTATTTAAATCTAAATATTCTTCGGTTCCCTATCAAATAAGAAAATAATAAAATATATTTTTTAAAACATTTAAATATACTGCTGAAAATAATTAAGATATTGCATTATCAGCTTGATATTGGAATAGAATTGATGGTTTGGCATTACATAGGACAGCTGATGATAAAATCCAGCAAGAAGTTGCATAACTTTCCCAGCAAAAAATATTTGTTTAAGAAACACTAAGACACATTAGCACAAAGTTAAAATTGTGAGTGGTGCCATCTATTATGAGATTTTATTAAAAAATAACTTTTATATTACTATTACTATAAAAAGACAAAAGGCTTAATTTTGAGGATAGAGATGAGAATTTTGTGCCATTCTGTGATAATTAGCAATTTTTAAACATGTATCTAACAAAGAAACAATAAAATAATTCAGAAATTCCAATAGAACAGATTGTGAAACATTAAAACTTTGATATCATTATTAAATTCTGCTATAAAATCAAATCTGATATCTTAATATTCCCTAATTGTTTTCAAGCAGTGTATTAAATAAAATAATTATAAATAAAAAATAAGTCTTTTTGAGAATAAAAAATATTTTATTTTTAATTTAAAATTTTTTGGAACAAGAAAAAATCTTATATTTAAAAATGATATTCATATTTAATTATAAAAAAATTAAATCTCTTACCAAATTTATGAAAACTGCATTTCTTATATTTTTGCGTGATTTTAAAATGTATTGGAAAAATGTTTCAGATACAAAAGATGCACAGCGTACAAATTTCAGTTTAATCTTCTCCTTTTCTTCATATAATATGTAATACTTTCTTATCTGATAGCAACTTTCTCCAAACTGCAATTTCATTAAAGCAAAACTTTATTTTAAAGAGTTATTTATTGAAGAAAATAAAACATCTTTTATCTCTTACACAAGGTGTATGAAAAGATACTGAGCAGTGAAAAAGGTTTAAATAAAATTTTAATGAAAGTAAAGTTTTAAGTACAATACTGCAGTTTCTCCTACAACAAATGCTAGAAATGTCCCCAGAGGTCCCAAAATCTGGGAAGTGAAGTCTGGAGACCTAGAGGTCCCTAAATTCCATGGGAAATTATGGGATTAGCAAAGAAATTTTCCAAAAACTGTAGTTCAAAACCAAAACATCTGTGAGCGAGCAGTAACACCATCTACTGCAAAGTAGAAATGTGAGATGTATGACTTACAGGTCAGGTACGTCATGTCAAATGTAGAACATTAATGTCATTACAAATTTTTCATTGCACAGTAACTTCTCGAACATCCTGTGTTATATTATTATGACATATAATAAAAATTGCTTTAACAATTACAGAATACAAGAATCTTTTTAATGCCAAACAATCTGCCATATTATCAGGCTATAATAAAGCTAATTAAATAATTGGATATAAAGTAATTTGAAACACATGTATATAAATAGTACTGTTTTCATAATTTACAGTATGCTCATCATTTATATGAACACAGATTAATTATAAAGCTATTTTCATAATCTTAGTAGTGTTTATTTCATTGGTGATTGCCATTTATTCAAATAAATGCATCCATTACATTATCACAAAACCAAGAAATGAATGAATTTCACACAAATTATGTTTAATTATGTATAAAACTATAATTAAAAATAAATAAACTCACATAAATCTCTCACTTCAATATTTAAGGCTTTGTCAGTTAAAAACTAATATTTGAATGAAAATGTTTATAATTTTTATAAGAAAAATAAAAATTTAATATAAATCTAAATGAAATTATTTACTTGACTAATTAAATTCTTTGGTCTTAGTTTCCTACAAAATGAATTACTGTTTTGTGTGAAAATTGTTCATTTATTCCTTTGCAATGTGCAAGATTCAGACACTGTCATAAAATCAAAATTGAAATTCTTACTTTTTCAAAAACATCTTGAACAATTTCTAATAATTTATCTTGATTCATGGAACCAAAACAATCTTGCAAATCCATTTTAACAAAATACAACTGACTAAAATTTAATAAATAATAATGAAGTTTTAAAGCATTATACAAATCATACATGCTGTATATACATAAGCTACATATAAGTAACTTTTTTTTATCAATTTACAAGTCATAAAACACCATTTAGCATATTCTATAAGATAAAATATTGACTTTAATATATTGTGAGATATCTAAATATCTTAACACATATATAGAACTGTCCATTTATAATGTCTCTGATAAATATCTCATAAAATATGCATCTAATTAAAATATTCAACAAAATATAAGTTATTTATTTTCATGAAATCTTTTAAATTTTATTATTAAGCCAACCCTTGTTCCCTTATTAAGGGATAACTTTAGAATTTCAAATATGTGGGTAGTTAAGGGGTGGGATACAGCAACACAACATGTGGGTGATCTGCCAAGAGGACTTTTACAAAAAAATACAGCCAACTTAGATGTTAGGCACATGAAGAAAACCTGTAAAACTCACATGGCCAGCCCACTGGTGAGGTGCAAACTCATGACCAACTACAAACACTTAGTAGTTTTATTCACTTGGCATTTTCAAATGGGAACCACCTATATTTTCTTTTTATTTTGTATTCTCTATTAAAAGTAATAAAGTTTTATTTGAAGCAGTTTTATGGAAAAGTTCATTTTAAAAGTGATCATTTTTAGTCATATTTTCAGAGAGTATTTTTTCAGCAGTACAGAAAATTTATCATAAATAAATAAAAATAAATGTTCACATTTTTTATTATTTGTTTTTTTATTTTTTACAATTTATATAATTCGTTAAATGTAAGAATCATTTGACGAAACTGCCATTTTGATCAAAAATATTTTTTTACTAGTAAATTTTTTAACCATTAGAGTAATTTTATAGCTTTAGAATGAAAATAACATTTTTTGATGGAACAAAACAAATGTTCCTTTCTTAAAGATGATTACCACTGGCACAACTGACAAGCAGAGGCTGCAGGTTAAAGCCCTGCCCCAGGTTAGTTCTTTTCTTCCAGATGGTTCTAAATTATTTAATTAATTATTAGAATTTCTTTAACAGTTACTTTATATAAATATAACTAAAAATTTCCTATGTTACATGCTAGCACACTTTCCTGTAGATAGACTTATCAAACTGGACAGCCACAGGACAGAATAACCTAGAGAGAGAATTTTCTTCTATGTATTTATATAGAATGCATTTCAGACCTAATAGGTCCCTCCTCAGTCACAATACATAAATCTCTTTGTGGATTTCTAGGTATATGCACATACATTATTAATTTTATAGTAATGACTTCTCAACATATGTACTCATATGTGGCAAAATCCATCAAAATTATACATTTTATCCTGGACGCACAAACTTGGAAAGAAAATTTTGTACTATTCAATACAAAACATGGAATTTGATGAATCCATATTGCCTCATGATTTTACACTACTGGAAAATTTACAAGCTATATCTCACTTACACATTTGCATTAACTTTGCCTCTAGCTCACAAATATATGTTAGTTTCTTTATTTTTCCATTCCCTATCTGTTAGGAAACCCTCCCAAGATTCACATATCTGTAGACCTATATTTTCATTTCTTCTTTTATTATTATTATCTATTTTTATAATTTCTAAATGTTCAAACAGTTTTCCTTTAAACATTTTCTTTGCATCTTTGAATCTTAGTAGACTAAAAATGCTCATAAATTTTAAAATTAACATTTTTTCAGCAAAAATGTTTTTAATAATATTTATGAAACTGAAAAATACCCTAGAAAATAAATAACTTCTATTCTGATCAATGTTTTAATTGGATGCATATTATTTGTAGGGACATCATAAATGGACCATCCTGTATATAGTTTATAAATATTACAGTAAAATNATTAAATATAATAAAGTAATAATAATGAGTTAAATATAACCGCATTGATCATATACATTGTGATTTGATGATATTTTAAAATCGTTTTGTAAAATGATAAGTACATCATGTCATAACTTATGTAATATATCGAGAATATTCAAAAGATAATTACAATAATAAATCCTTTGACCTTTACTTTCTCAATAAAGATAATATTCGTATTGTCTTTCTACAAATAGATGTTCATTATCTTGAATTAGTTCGTGATAGAGATATTTTTGTTGGGTGATTTTAGCTGATTCCTTAGTAATAGCACTACTTAAGAAATCTTGACAGTTTAGTGTTTCATTAGTGTAACAATTCGTCGTGCATTGCGTGCCGGTTACCACTTAATTGCTGTTTAAATCTGATGTATTAATCTCTGCTTTTACAGTCGATTTTATACAAATTTAGATAAAATATCGTAATTACATCAACAGTAAATGTCTTTAATCATTAGGTAATGCAAAACAAATAAAAAATACATCATTTGTATTTTTTATTTTCTGTAAAATATTTCCCAATTTAACGATTTAAAATTATTTTTTAATTCACTAAAACTGAATATTTTTTAACTCTCCCTGCTATGGGCATTAAGTGCAATTTTTTTAGCAAACCTATTACAGGTTCAGCCAGGCCCACAATAGGGCAGCTGGGTAGTGAGAGATAGGGTTTAACATATCCAGATGGATCACCCCCTGAAAAATTTCTGGGATCTTTTGATTTATCTGGAATTGATCCCTGATTCCTAGAGTGGCAGAGTGCCATCTTAACCACTCATCCATTTAGCCAGTAAAAAAGATGTTATTTTTTGTAGCTTAAATGTCTTTATTAACATTGAAAAATCATATTAGTAAATTAACATATTTGCACACAAAATATTTAATACAATAATAAAATATTCATTTTTGAACTTTAATATTACAGAATCAGCAATTAATACAGAGTTTTCTTGAAAGAATGCTGCCATTTTAATTATTGTAATTATATTAATTATTACCCAAGAAGTATGCATTGTACACCAATCAATAGAGTAACTTCCAGTTTCATCTACCATCTGCATTCAAACTTCTTTTTGTCTATGCCATATAGGAAATGCTGTAAACAAAAGTGGTCATTCTACAACAGAGAAGGTGTTTTGTGTTCTAGTCTGCAAAGTCAGAATCAGTTGTCATTGTGTAATAAGAATGTTTGCCTTACATGATGATGAATCACTTTAAAATTATCTGTGAAACTGAAAAGATCATTGAAAATCATGTTTGACTGATTTCAACTTTGCAAACTGAAGAACACAAAATTCTTTCTCTATTGTAGAGTTGTAATTTTCATTTATGCTGCTTCCTAGAGGGAGCAGAAAAAAAAGACATTTCTATGCAGATGATAGATGAAACTTGAACATTTACTCCATCAATTAATATACAGTATATCACATAATTCTCGGGTAATAATTAATATAATTACAGTAATTTAAAATGGTAGCATTAATTTTTGAAGACCTTATATAATATTCTTTAATCAAAGCAAAATGTTTAGATACTGGTAATATTAATATTCAGTAGTCTGTTTAATATATTGCACTCTAGCTAATCCAAACTAGTACCAATTGAAACTGTTTAATCAAAACCAAATATGTTTGTTTTGCTACTAAATTTCTGCCAAAACAAAAACTAATTACACATTACATTTTAAAAACATATTAAATTTTCAAATTTAACATTTATTACACATTTTAACATAAAAAATATTACAAAAAACATATAAAAAAATTTTTTAATGCATATTTGTTCAATAGAATAGAAATAGCTTCTTAAAACTTTATTAACATTAATCTTTTCTGGATCAAAGGTCACTCTAAAAACCCAGGAAATGACTCCTTGCAAATAAAGCTCCTATTAGGATCTCTACATTCTCTTACAAGATCCCTGTCAACATGATATATAACCACTTTCACATTGCTACTACCAATCAATCTATGGCAGTAATTGTAGAACACTAGTGACTATGGTCATTTTCCTGCTCTGTTGTCAGTAAAAAGACCCACAGGCAGAGACAAAAATGAAAACAATAATAACTATAATATTACACAAGAAATTTGTTAAATATAAAATATTAACCATTATTTATATAATACTTTGTATAAATATAATTAATTTATTAAATTTATCTTTACTTGATCAATGTAACCTGCAAAAACACATGAATTTTTTTTATTCTAAATTAAATCATAATTAATTAGAATTATAAACTTAAATTTTGTTTATTTCATATAACAAAAAGTATCTACCTTAATGAGATCAAATACAGATGTTATCTTTTGTAGCAAAATACCACTGTTTGGAACATTCTACAAAAATTAAATTAATATTAATAATTTATAGATTAAAAGCTAATGATATAAAAACTAATTATACATAATAACTGCATTACTTTTACTATTGTAATGTTTATACATTCATACTTGCAAACAAACACATTATTAACTGAATATTTTTGAATTTACCCCTGATAATATATAATTTAAATTTTATTACCATATTAGATTTCTTCTGTAAATTAAAAATGGGTCTCAAGGAAGCAGATTTTGGTATGAATCGTGCATTTGATATACCAAGACATTGTCCTTCTCTACACAACCTTCTCACTTGTTCCTTTTAAAATATGTAAAATAAATTTTGCATTTAACTTAATAGAATAAATTCCTAGTTTTATTCAATATTTCATTCTCTATTCATTATCTTCATTTCAAATTCTAATATAAAAATAAATCTTTTATGTAAGGTGTTATTATTATTATAAATCAGTAGCATGTAGGTTTAAATATTTCATTTCTAAAACTGCTCCTATTTAGATGTGCTAATCATAATTTTTTTTTCTCTCTGAAGCATCTTATGATATACTACTATTATATTTTATAAATATTTTGTTTCAAAATGTTCAGAGGAACATTTAATGTTAATTCTTAAGTTCTCTTATATAAATTGGTAACTAAATNTAAGAAATGTGAAGTTATTAAAAGAATTAAAGGGTAAATATTTTACAGAAAAATGAAGGTTAAAACTATATAAAATAAAAGGTTAAATTTATATTATAATAGCAGCGTGTGTCCTCGTTGCTCGGTTTTTGAGGGGATGGGAGATTGGTGAGGTTGGGTTGGGAGAGGGTGATAAAAACAAGGTCTTTGTAACTAAAACACACGTTTATTTACCCGAGTATTTACAATAATGAAACTGAAAAACAGAGAAAATTGTTCCGGATAAAGTTAACAGGGAGTGGTGAGCTTTAAGGTTGTTTGGGCACCTCACAGTATTTTTTCTAGGATTTCGAAGAATATTCATGTCAAGTTTGGTGAGGATACGTTGGACAGTATAGAACTGTTACCTAACAAATGTACCTAATAATTTCAGACGGGTGGGATTTAGGGGTGTTAAGCGGTGGGCAACCCACAGTATTTTGTGTTGAAGAATATTCATGCCAAATTTGATGAGGATATGTTGAACGGTATAGAATCATTTACCTAACATACATGCATCCATATTTTGACTTATATATATAAGTATATATAGCCTATATAAACTTTGTATTATCTTTGATGTGATTCAATTAAAATTCAAGCCAAATTTGATGAGGATATGTTGAACGGTATAGAATCATTTACCTAACATACATGCATCCATATTTTGACTTATATATATAAGTATATATAGGGTTTTCAAAAGAAACACACTATAAGAAATTGTAAAGAGAAGCTTGTAGGCAAAGCATTGGGGACAAGCGTACAGTATACTGGTTACATGATGCATCATTTCAAATTTTCAATACTGTCAAACAGGAATTAAATGCACAAAATTCACATGTGTGGTCAAATCATTTTCAACTAATATAGGCCTAGCTGCATAGTTCTGTACCTAACCATTGTGTTCTGAGGATTGAATTTATTTTTTAATACTCAATACATAAATGATAACAAGAGCAAACAAATTATCAGTTTTTTATTTCTTTTAATTATATTTAAATATAATTAAACATAACAATAATATTAAATAGAACAAGTTCAATCCTTGCAACACATTGATTAGTTACAGAACTATATAGCTGAGCCCACATCAATTGAAAGTGATTTGACCACACACATGAATTTTGTGCATTTAATTTCCATTTGACAATATTGCAGACCAGGAATGATGCATCACACAACCAATACACTACTATATATGCTGGGTCCTGATGCTTTGTCTAAAATCTTCTCCTCCTGTAGCATGTTACTTTTGAAAAACACTGTACAAGTACAATATTGTTTAATATATAATAATATAATAAAGTACAATATAATAATATATTATATATATAAAGCATGCACAAGTATATATATTTATATATAACAATATACATACTTGTAAAATACAAAGTACATAAATTAATAACCAAGTTAGAATTTTTCCAAATAAAAATGATGATATTCTGATATTTTTCTCATTTTTCAGCCATTCACATTCTTTAGTCTAAAATATAAAAAATATTCAATTCAAAATAAATAGAATAATAATATATTTTTCAAATATAAAAGTATTAATACCTTCATTCCATGAAAAACTTGATGTAATCTTAAAACATCATTTTTTCCTTTCCTAATAAGTATCTTAANTTAAATTTTATTACCATATTAGATTTCTTCTGTAAATTAAAAATGGGTCTCAAGGAAGCAGATTTTGGTATGAATCGTGCATTTGATATACCAAGACATTGTCCTTCTCTACACAACCTTCTCACTTGTTCCTTTTAAAATATGTAAAATAAATTTTGCATTTAACTTAATAGAATAAATTCCTAGTTTTATTCAATATTTCATTCTCTATTCATTATCTTCATTTCAAATTCTAATATAAAAATAAATCTTTTATGTAAGGTGTTATTATTATTATAAATCAGTAGCATGTAGGTTTAAATATTTCATTTCTAAAACTGCTCCTATTTAGATGTGCTAATCATAATTTTTTTTTCTCTCTGAAGCATCTTATGATATACTACTATTATATTTTATAAATATTTTGTTTCAAAATGTTCAGAGGAACATTTAATGTTAATTCTTAAGTTCTCTTATATAAATTGGTAACTAAATAAAATAATTTAAGAATAGAATAATGAATAATCATAAATACAGTAGGGCCCCAGAAACTTTACTCTCAATAATTCGACATTCCATAAAACTCATCGTGTTGTTCAAAACAAAAAATACATGTAATGTAATTTTTACAGCTATAACTTAACACTAGGATCAAATAAGTTATCCTTCACTGGCAACACTTTATATAACATCAATTCCACATGTTAACAAAGAATATAATCCATTTTCCAAAGTGCTATTTTGCAGTGGTATGATTCAAATGTCACTAACTTGAAAGTAACCACAGAATAGCCAATATTTTTAAAATTAAAATTTAACTAAAATGTAAATAGTCACTACCAGTATGTAGTTAATATGTAGACAAATTTTCACATATTACGAAAATCTGCTATTTAGACTAGCATCATCACTATGCTGTAAAACTTGTCATTTTCAATAGCTCGTTACCTCCACGGTCCACATTAAGTTAAGTTTGCTGGGCTCTACTGTACTATTAATATTATGAACATAAATGAAAATTTTTTATTCTTAAAAAATAAAAATTAAAAACTAAGTAAAAAACTGAAATAAATGTTATAACAATATCTACAAATTGCTAAACTATAAACAGAATAAAACAGTTAAATTACCACAGAAATGAGAATTAAATTCTTCTGCCTTAGAAATTCTGCAATAAATTTAAAATTTTTTAACAAAAAGATTTTCTATATATAATATAAAACTTTTTAAAGATTTAATACCATTGATACTCAAAGTTTGAATTTTTTGCCAAAGAGATTTACGATAAAAAAATAATTTTCTTTTGTGCATTCCACTTTCACTTACATAAAAAAAACCCTAAAAATTATACAATTAAATATCTTATTTACATATTTTAAAACTTTATCAAAATTTATATATATATAAGTATATATAGGGTTTTCAAAAGAAACACACTATAAGAAATTGTAAAGAGAAGTTTGTAGGCAAAGCATTGGGGACAAGCGTACAGTATACTGGTTACATGATGCATCATTTCAAATTTTCAATACTGTCAAACAGGAATTAAATGCACAAAATTCACATGTGTGGTCAAATCATTTTCAACTAATATAGGCCTAGCTGCATAGTTCTGTACCTAACCATTGTGTTCTGAGGATTGAATTTATTTTTTAATACTCAATACATAAATGATAACAAGAGCAAACAAATTATCAGTTTTTTATTTCTTTTAATTATATTTAAATATAATTAAACATAACAATAATATTAAATAGAACAAGTTCAATCCTTGCAACACATTGATTAGTTACAGAACTATATAGCTGAGCCCACATCAATTGAAAGTGATTTGACCACACACATGAATTTTGTGCATTTAATTTCCATTTGACAATATTGCAGACCAGGAATGATGCATCACACAACCAATACACTACTATATATGCTGGGTCCTGATGCTTTGTCTAAAATCTTCTCCTCCTGTAGCATGTTACTTTTGAAAAACACTGTACAAGTACAATATTGTTTAATATATAATAATATAATAAAGTACAATATAATAATATATTATATATATAAAGCATGCACAAGTATATATATTTATATATAACAATATACATACTTGTAAAATACAAAGTACATAAATTAATAACCAAGTTAGAATTTTTCCAAATAAAAATGATGATATTCTGATATTTTTCTCATTTTTCAGCCATTCACATTCTTTAGTCTAAAATATAAAAAATATTCAATTCAAAATAAATAGAATAATAATATATTTTTCAAATATAAAAGTATTAATACCTTCATTCCATGAAAAACTTGATGTAATCTTAAAACATCATTTTTTCCTTTCCTAATAAGTATCCTAATTCCTACATATTTTTAAAAGAAATGTATAATTTAAAATTATTATTATACAGGGTCTTCCATAATAAATGCTACCATTTTAAATTACAGTAATTACATTAATTATTAGCTGAGAAGTATGCAACATACATCAATCAGTAGAATCAGTCTAAGTTTCGTCTCCCATTTGTATTCAAAGAACTTGTTGCCTACTATCTCTGGAAAGCACTGTAAACGAAAATGGCAACACTGCAACAGACGAGTAGTCATTTTGCGTTCTGCAGTTTGCAAAGTCAGAATCATTCATCATTGTGAAACATGAGTAATCTGCAGGAGCTATAGAATTTTGGCTGTTGTGGGAGGAATGACAATAGTTATACTGTAGAGAGTTTAAGAAAAATTTGAGTATCAGTCAGATGTATCATGTAACACAAGGTGCATGCATTAAGAAATTGTAAAGGGAAAATATTAAACTTGTACAGTTTTCTAATTTTTTAATGTACAGTACATTACAATGTTCTCATATAATAATTAACATAATTACAATAAATTGAGCTGGTAGCATTCTTTTTAGAAGACCCTGTATATAATTTAAAAACAAAAGAAAAATATTATACAATTCAATAATTAAATTGAATTTCAAATGAAAAATTTTAAAACTTCTGCTGTATTTATATATGCATCTTATTACTATGCATTACAACTAATCTCATGTTAATGGATAGCCGAAACAAGGCATTGGCCTACTTCTCCAGAGGGTCCAGGAATTTTTTACACACAGTCTTTCACCATTTGATTACTCCCATTGTGAGCCTGGCTGAATTTACAATTGGCAAGAAGAAATGCCTCTTAGTGACCACAGGATAGAGAGTCACCAATAAAAAAATATTCAACTTTTTTCCATTCTTAATATTCTCCAAGTTTTCCTTTCAGGAAAATTAAAAATTTAAATAACCAAGGAGAGCCAAAAATGCATATCACTAATATTAATGTAAGAAATGTGAAGTTATTAAAAGAATTAATGTTGTAAGCTTGAGGTTTGAGCCCAGTTATATATATATATATTTTTAACAAAAAAATGTTCTAGTAGCCAAATAATTTACAATATGATTTTTATAGTTTTAATATGATATTAATTGTCATCAGTTTGATTCTGATTGCTTATATTGATATACAGTAGAGCGTCGTTTATCCGAATCAATTGGGGACTGGGGTTGTTCGGATAACTTATTTTTCGGATAACCAATTATGTACGAAAAAATATATTAATTTATCCTGTGTTGAAATTTTTCTCCGTTGCGTGTCGCTTCGCATTGAATTTTCGTCGATGTTAAGCCTAACGAAGACTATCGTATCGTTAAAAATTATTTTTTTATTTTGTACGAACAAAATAAATATATTGAAAAATATAAAAACAATAAAAAATTATACTTCAGAAGTTAATTTAGTATCAAAAACGTAAAATATTTGAGTAGCCGAAGACATAGCCAAAGATTACAGCGCCACAGCACTGGCGCGAAAATTTAAATTTGTCAACTGGAATTCCTTCGGATAACCGACCTTCGGATAAACGACGCTCTACTGTATACATATACATATATACATACATACATGTAATATAATAAAACAAACATGCTATATATTGTAAGATTTATAATATATATATTGTGTTAAAACTTTTTAAATCTCTTGGACTTAAATCTAGTATAAATACATATTTTTAAAGTTTTGAAATGTTTTTCAGCATAAAAACTCTTTATAAACAACAAAATATATATGCAAGTACTTTCAATAGTACATTATCATCTGCTGAATGATAATAATGCATTGTTAAAAGTACTTGCATAAATATTTTGTGTTTATTAGAGTTTTAATGATGAAAGACAGTTGTTTATTGTGTTGCTTACAAAATTTGGCATCAAGAGTGTGTTTAAATTGTGATAATGATTTTTGTTTATAGAATAAATATAAAATAATTAAGATTATAATACCTTCAATAATTTCTATAACATTAATAAAAACTTTCATATATGTTTTGTTTTTCAATTATTTCAAAAAAGAAAATAAAACAGTCATTTTGAATGAAATATATTGTAAATTTTAAAATTTCTATTACGTTTTTATCTAATTATTGTTCAATCATAATGATTTTTAAATTTAATTTATAGTATTTTTAAAAACTTAGAATATTCAAAATTTTCAATATTAAGAGCAAGTATGTAATTCTTAAAATAAAAATTATTTGAATGAATTATTGTTAAATATTAAAAAAAAAAAGATTAATGAAATATACAATTTTCTCTTTATCAACTAAGTGGTACTTACAAACAAAAACTATCCACACTTTTCCAGTAAACAATTTATTTATCAAACAAACAAATTTTTAATGCCAGAGAGCATAAGTTTCATTGATTAAAAATTTTTAAATAATATCATAGAACATTTTGAGCATAGAACAATTTAGAATAACAAAAACTTGTATTTTGAAGCTAGGCCCAAGGCAGGCTTAGAAAATAAGTTGAAAATGTTTGTTTACTAAATAATTTATCCACTGGAAAAGTGTGAATAGTTTTGGTTTATAAGTTCATCCCAGATCCAGCTTTGTCTATGTGTTTTAACTAAGTTGCAAACATATGGCTCTGTATTAACAAAACAAAAATATCTTTTATTGTTGCTTACTCAGAAAACAAACATTACATAATAAAAAACTGGAAATGCTTTAGTTTCAGATTAGATCAGTAACAGCTCAGATCAAATTTCAAGGTCATTCTAAAATTGAAAATAAGACCAAATGTAAATTGCTGAATGTAAATTTCTAAGATTAATACAGTAACATTACATTTTCTTTGAATTTTTTTTTCTTACATATCTTTTTCTTATTTATGTATAATTTTTATCGTAACTATTGAGGAAGCAAGATAAAAAACTTGCACAGAAGGACAAAGAAGTAAGCTGAAATGGATTGGCAAAGATCTTATTTTTCGTCATTCTGTGAAAGCAAAATGTATTTATTTCACTTCCTTCAATAGTTATGATAAAAATTATACATTGAATATGAGAATACTTTCTCATATTCAATATATAATGTATAATATCAAATATATATCAAGAAATCATTTACTTAAAAAAATCTTTATGCATTTCACTTTTTTAATCTGCAAAATTTATAAAATTTTCTCTAAGAAGATTTTTAGGAATTTTTCTATTTTTAAACAAGGAGATAATTTGTACTGCTAATATTTAATTAATTAAAATTTTTCATTCTTTATATTTTGTTGCTAATGAAAAAAATTTTTAAGGCTATCATTTAATATTGTATTAATCTATTTTCTTTGCATTAAAATCTTATAATAATGTTTTCTCCTAAAGAATCATCATCAAAAGAATTTCTATTGAAGTCTGATTTCAATACATAAAATTGAATTTTAATAATAATAATAATAATAAGTAATTTAAATTAATACTTTTTGTATTTCTTGTTCTTTTCAATTAATTTTGTTAAGTTATAAAATTTATATATGAAAAATATTTTTTAAAAAGTTATAAAAATATACATTTACCAAAAGAAAAATTAAACAGCAACAGTTTTTACATGTATTAATATTAAAAAAGCAACTAACTTTTTAAAAACAATCGATAATTTCTTCTGCCCAATAATATTGGTGAGATGGTATATTTCAGGATTTCATGAATAAACTTCATTATCTAGAAAAATTCATTGCTGATTATACATGTAATGATTTCATTACAGTCAAACCTTGATATAGTGTTACCATTTGTTCACCTATTGGCATTAAATTGAATGTGGAACTAAATCAAAGAACCTTGAACAATAATAATTACAGGGTCATTCAGGTAAATCTGAAAAAGTTACCATATAATGAAAAACAATTAAAAATAGAGAGAGAAATCAATATATTCTTACAAAAATGGGTAAACTAGTAG